GTGTAGGCGGATTGTGCGCTTGCTTCTTTCTCTCCCCTCTTCCCTTTTTTCTCGCGCGGAAAAGAGTTTCTTCATTCGACGTGCGACCATTTAACCCTTAAACATATTCCTCGCAAATTTCTTCCGCACTGCATGCGCGAGCTAAATATTTTTAAACTTGGAGTAAGTTTTTCCAAAGTCTTATTTCGCTCGAACATAAATCTGTTATTTTCATATTTTAAACGTAAATTTTTTTGGTATTACATGTTCTCAACGTTTTTACAAATATACAATAGAAATTAATAACATTTAAATTATACAGCTGTGATATCTAATTTATGAAATCTATGATATATCTAATTCATAAAATAATACTTTGCCATAAAGTTTAACTCTCGGTAAAGCGTGAGTTGTGAAAGATTGAAAACTCTTCTCTTTTCATAGACGTGACATTTTGAATGACGGTTTATATGTGCAAGCGCAATACTTGCATCATTAAACGCGCGCGTATCGAGATCGATCGTTTAAGAGTAATTATGCTAATGCGGCCCGATTATGATGAAGGCACGAAATAAGCTTACAGGGTATCATCATTACCACGTTCAAATACGTGCGTATTATTAATAATGAAACAATAATGGATATTATTAAAGCAGCATGACGCAATAATAGCCGGTGAACAGCGCAATTGCCAATATATTTGTTGCACCGTATTAATCACCAGTCGTATTAATACTTATACACATTAAAAACTCTCTTACAGTTCATTTCTTGCTGCAAATATTATATTGTCTAAATCGCGAAAAAAAAAGATTCTTTAAATGTTTTTTATTTATATAATTCACACAAGCTCTATACTTTAATAAGGATCTCTAAAAATTTTTATTTTTATTTTTTATATAATATTTATATAGAATGCAAAGCTCTATTTAAAATATACTATGTCTACACATTATTATTGTGAGTCGGACAATTATTCTTACGAAATATATATTTCTGTTGTACCTTCCATTTAATTATCATGTCGATTTTTATACTTGGCAAGGGACAACGACGTAAAACGGGAAAAGGGCCGGCGGTAGCGGTCGGTAGTCTTCCGGGGAGAAACGACCGAGCGGGATTTAAATCTATTTTATTTGACCCTGAAGGATCAGTCCTTTTCATGGAGAAAAGCGGCTCCTTTTCGTAGAGGGACACGGACGGAAGAGGAATTCTCATCGTCCCCTTTTTTTCGTCTTCCGGGCGCGCTTCGGACGCTCCTCGAAAATTATGTAAAACTCGAAGAGCGGCAGATATTGATTCCCATCGCCGAATGTTTTACGGCGCGTATTATTTTCGCGAGGGACAATCATTCGGTCCGGCGAAACCGTTCGGATTCCGTTTGCGCCAATTCCTCGCCAGCGAGAAATTCGGTTTCAATTGGGACGATATCTCGTTACGCGCCGTATAACGGATCACTCTGACGACGAGGAAAATTATTTTCCCAACGAATGCGCATACATTCTGCAGATGCGTAATGACTCGTAATAAAGATTCTCCGCTTCGACGTTGAAATGGAAAATTTCTCATATCTCGGATTGAAGATTGCTTGCGCGATATCTTTTACATTATATTCTTAATAATTTTTTTAATATCTCTTATCTTTATTTCATTACTTGTACCTCTTTTGTTTTTTAAACATATTACTTCTCTTTATATTCAAAATCTATTGACTCGGTGATAAATTATAGTACGATAATCTTCCTTTAATCAATTTTTTCATGGTTCCTTTATTTAATTATTACAAACAACTAAATATTGCGCTGAGATTTTTTTTTATATTATTGATTATTATATCTGTGAGAGCGGCTTCTATTATCTCTGGGTTTTTCTTTCGAAATGTTCGTATCGATATTCAATGCGAATTGAGTGGCAATAAAAGCGTTCTTATTTAAACAGTATTTTCGCGGGATTATGTCGAATAATTTGTTAGTTCCGATAAGCGCAATAAAACATACCATATGTCACTTGTGTTCGTGAAGTATTAGTTATGTCGCGTATCATTACGTCTACAATTGCTATGGCAAGGTTATCTGTCGAATATAAATATATTCTTTGTTTTAATAATAAAATAAAAATAAAAACAAAAATAGAAAATTACGTACGGAAAATGGCGACTATCGTATTTTACATGAATAAAAATAAAATTCTTTAAGATTTTGTATGATTAAAAAATGTTTTCATTGTGCATTATTATTATTATCATTTAAAAATCTTTTCTGTTTTTATTTGTTTGTATTTGCAAATACATGCGAATAATTTCGAAGGCGTTTCCGGCAGAACAAACAATCTTTAAACACTTTTGACACCTCGCGTAATTGCTTCGAGATACAACGCGTGCACGGGACATAAATTTGTCGTTAAAAACTACGCCCATTATTCGATTTCCTCTCCCTGCAGATAGTCGCTATACAAATTCGACTGCTTGTATTCTGGAAGTCCCATCCCTTAATCCTCCCCGTCGATGGCTGCCTCTTCCCTAAAGCCCCCCCTTTAGTGGACCCCCTCTCTCTTCCGTTGTCCCTACGTTTTGGGGTGGAATTATTATGCAGAGACCAAAGTGTCCCATAAAATCGCGCAAATTACACGCTCCGATGCGTGTCTGAGCTTCATCGTAGTGATTAACTGACAATAACGTTGAAAATCGGTAATTTGGCGGTGCCGATTAATCGTGTATTTACAGCTTGCAGAGGATTCTTTGCGATCGTTTAGGGCTTTACGCGTGCATCAGCTGTCGTGGCTGCTTTATTGCGTGACGATGAGTTAATTTGTCGGAAGATTAACTTCTATTAAAGGTAACAAGGAAAGCGAATATTTACACGATCGTTAAACGCATAAAAATTACAGAATTCGGATTTTTCAACAAATTGAGATTTTAGTTAATATTATATATACTTTTTTTTTAAATCAAGTATACATATAAAGGATAAAGAAGGTAAAAGAAAAGAGAAAAGAGTGCTTTTAAAAAGGTAAAACAAAAAATAAAACTATAGCTATTTTTTATTGTTTTCAATATTATTTTAAAAATATCCGATTATTCATTTATTAAATATTTTCAAACTCTAATCGATATTTCCTTCCCTTCGATTGGAAAAATATTTTATTCGGATGAGGATTAACACTCGTGTTTTTTACGTACCTTGCTCTCCCTTATTAGATTGTAAACGCGGAATTAGCAGTCTGTTCGCACATCCGAGCAGCATTCACTGAAAATCTTCATCTACACGCGAAAGGAACACGTGGAACTCTACCGTTACCTATCTACCGTTGCCGGCGCTCTAATTCGTATTCACGGCACGACCGCTCGTCGCATGATCACACCGTATGGATTCGAATCCGAGACGCATCGGAAGTTTGCGATGTCGTTTTACCGCCTAACTCACAGAGGACTCGAAACTTTTGTCGGTGTGCCCCTCGACCGGATAATACGTTTTCGTCAAACTTCGAAACAAGTGTCCGGGAAAAGTGCGGCCGAAGAGACGCGCGATCGCCGTCAAATGTGATTTTTTTTTCTCCCATCCAATCGATTCGCGATTATTATCTCGCAAATTGTTTTCGGATGGAAGTTTGAGAGGCGCGAAAGAGCGGTTGATTCTTAATTCATTATTGCATCTATGTATGTACGATGCGGAAAAGAATCGATGGGCAGTAGTTTTGAAGAATGGAAAAGAGTAAGGAAACTGAAAGAGAATATTCAATGCAGTGTCCTTAATTTTTATTTCATTTTTATTTTTATTTTAGAATGATTACATATTCCAGATAAATGTTGGATTATTATAGACTTTACAAATATAAAATAAGCATGATA